TAGATTGTAAATAATGGGGTTGAGAGAAATAATAAATAAACTAAAACAAAAATGGTTAATGCGTCACTATTGCTATTTAAGTTATCAGTTAAGTAATTATTAAAATATTTGTATTTACTTAATGCATTTGACAAAATAGTCATTACCTCTGACTGAAATCTCTTTGTGAAGAAATATGAAAGAACTCTGGTGGAAATTTCTTCTGGTACTGTATAGAATTGGCCAATATTGGACTCTGTGTGACTAGCCTAACAAATATTATAAGACAAAGTCATAAACTGGAAACATAAATTCTCTATAGAGCAGTTAAATGAATTGATCTATTGATCAAAATATTGACAGCCTCAAGTTACAACAGGTATTTTATGAGAAACAAACTGTACACAGGATGCAAAATGTTTTTTACAGCTTGCTTTTCAGGGAGACACCTCTGAGGGTCTACAGTAGCTTTAAAAAAAGAGCATTCAATATTTTCGTCGCAATCAGTCGTGATATTTGCACTTATTGCATCATGTGCCAGTATTCCATAAAAAGTCAGAGTCAACAGAGTTTCAAGGTGTAGATGGCATTTTGTTTGATGTCTAAATAAGTTCCTGTAAACCTTGACTTCTCTATTTCTACCCCTCCTTTTTTGGATCATTTTATCAGAGCAACAGGTGCCTGTCTTTTCCCTTACGTGAAGGCTCAAGATGGAAATGCCAGGATGTGCCAGCCAACAGTTTCTATCGACAGTAGGATCTGGCTGTAAATAGAGGAAACTCCTAGACGCATATCATAGACGCCCAACTTACAATTAGAGACCAACAACCAATGCAGTTGTTTATGATCTACAGTTACCTGCAATGGATATATCAATATACTCACTGGATCAACTTGTCCTATATCAACAACTGGTTCATTTCTTACGTCCTCATCTGTTATGCTCGCATCTTCCTTTGTTTTGTCAATTAGAGCAGATCTGCTCATACATCTAGTATGTAACCTCCTCTGTTTACGAAAATCAAAATAAACTAAAACTTTTACCTTTGGCAAACTATCAATTCGTAAACATGGAGGGATTGCAGCCCACTACAGTGGAAACTCGATTTAAGGTGGCTTACTACAGTTTTGATGGATTATAACAGCCCAACTTCTAACTCTTTTCAAAAATGTTCCAAGATGTTTTTCCTTTCTCTATTTACTGTTTGCTTAAGTCTTTTGCCATTCTATTTGAAACTTGAACAATTAAACGTCAACAAATGGCCAAAATGAACGAACGAGTACCTAAGGAGAGACTGGGCACTAGTAGGTTAAATTACGTTTTTCTCAAAATCTACCTGATAACCCCACCTCAAAATTTCAGGAATAAGAAATTGGCTCTGATTTAACATTCATGCAAAGTGAAATAAAAATCTGTATGACAGATTTTTTGCAAACTAAGAAAATGTGAGATCAAAAATAGTTCAAAGTCTTACAGATTTTTCTAACATTTTGGCTCTAAATGTGATTCACCCCAACAAATCAACTGTGAAAATTTCATCATGGGTTGCACGGTAGGTTTTCGAGCAATCCTCAATCAAAGACTAGCTTTTACAACCTCGGACGAGAACTGAATTATGCATGCCCTTCAGTCAAGCGCACATTCATGTGACGCCATGTATCGCGTGTGAGAAAGCAAGAGTAAATTAGAGCTCTTTTACCAGTTATTTATAGAGCTTTTTTGTCATATTCTTTTGGCCCTAAGCTTAGACACATGTTTGAACAGAGTTTGAAACTATTGCTACATATACCAAAAAGATTTAATGCCTTTCAAGTGCTGAAGTGTTTTTCGTTTCTTCTTAGGTTTATTTGCGTCATTTTTGCATGCACAATTAATACTGACGTCTGGCAGGCAATTGTAGCGCATGCTACTGAGTCTCAGAAAAACTGTAGTAAGCCACCTTAACGAACCTCTATATAATGAAGTAATTGGTATAACAAACAATTTTCCTTGCCCCAGTAATAGTAAAACATATGGAAAAGAACCTTGATACAACAAAAACTTGTTATAGAGAACATATTTTGCCAGTCCCTTGGCCTCTCATTATATCAGGTTCCACTGTACATTGTTTATTACCTCAAAAATAAGATGTGGGACCTGGCCATGTTTACTTGTGTAATGTTACTGGACAATGGAATAAAACCTCATAACACTGTATGAATGGATATAAAATTAATGTTTCTTGGTTATGTAATAGTATTTTCCTTTGTGTGTAACATTACACTTGTAAGGACATAAAATTAAAAGGATAGCTAACAAAACATATTGTCCAGTTGGGTGGTGGGAGGGGCATAAGACATAAGAATAGCAAATGCCAACTATTTGGTGTAGGCATAACAGTAGAACAAAAACAAACTTGAGCTCATATCCATCCAATTTAGGATAAAAAAAAAGAGAATCACTATTTTGGACATTTACATCACAAACCCCTTGCACAACCTTAAAGTTGTATGTGCTCTTACCACAACAGGTTTGTCTCTTAAGAAAAATTGAACCTTACATCCATTCTCTAGCAACAGGCTTGTTGTATCTAAAGCAAACAAAAATTGCAAAAACAAAATTGTGCTACCCCTTGTAAAGAAGCTGGGTAACATTGAATAACATAAGCAGCTTTTATTTTACATATACTTAACAAGACCTGAAATATAGCATTAGTCTACAAACTTTAGCTGCAAGATCACAACTGGACTAAAAATCGTACATACTCCCTAACTGCAAAAATTATAGAGATCTAATCACTATATCCAGCCCCATCAAAATGTGCCAGCAGTTGGTAATTTTGCCACCCATTTTACACAGGAGTTCACTAACACTTACTACTTCTGCTTACTTTTCACTTTAGTGTTTAGATCCTGTTTTTAAACTAAAAACCTCTGGGTATTCAATTCTGTAGCTCCTACAGGTACCTTTTCCAAGAGGGACAAGGGGGGATTGAACAGGGGTGTTCTTGTCTAAAATTATGAAACCTAATTTTGCATTTCATGACTCAAAATTTGCTTCCATGATTCTGGAAAATGTACATGTATGTATCCTGGCAGTGAGTGTGAAGTCTTGGAGCTGAAGGCTCATAGCTGCGGAGCTTATCCCGGTTTCTGTAGTATGAAGCGGCTAGGAGTATTTCTACTCCCCCTGGATGGGATGCTACAGGATGTAGTCCATCGCAGGTCACTCCCCCACAATTTGTTAGGTTTCCCCAACAATTCGCTGGTACCCATTTATACTCCTGGGTGGAGAGAGGTACCATGAGAGTTAAGTGTCTTGCCCAAGAACACAACACCGTGTCCCCAGCCAGGGCTCGAACCCAGACTGCTCGCTTCAGGGATAAGCGCACTAACCACGAGGCCACCGTGCCTCCATATGTATCCTGGTAGAATGGACAAAACCTGGACCTCTAGCCGAAAAACCCCTGTAAAGTGATTTTTGATTGAGAGTCCCCTCCACTGACAACACAACAACAGCTCAGTTACCTGCGAAAGTTGCAATGTATAACTATTTTGTGAGTAAGAAAATATGGAGTCCATGGGACGTCCAAGGTCCAAGAGTCCATGGTTTGTCTTGTCCCATCCAGTTTCATGGAGTATCTGATCACAGTTCACAGTTTTTTTTTTTTTTATAGAACTCGCAGGCAAATAAAATGGCCGATTTCGGAGACATAAAAATTCCCTTGCACCCCTCCCCTTTCTTTGCCAGTGCCTCTCCCTGAGACTCCCATACCTGACCCCACGGTTAATTTCTATTCGTACAGGCGGTCTTGTTGTTGTATTTTACTTGGTATTTCTCCATAACTCTATGGCTGATGTCTAGCTCTGTCACAACATCCGTTCAGCGTCGTGCCCGACAACTCACGGAGAGATACCGATACCCCAGTGGAAGCAATAAAACGTTTCGATAGCGCTCGCGGACCATGAAACGTCAAGTAGTTTCATACGCCCAAGAGTTTCTTGTATTTACCCTCTAACGTGGCGCACATAAGTATTCTGAATACCCATATATTATCATTACTTTAGCCATGAGCGCAAACAGTAACAAAACTCCCGACAAAGAGAAGGAAATACCTGAAAAGAAGATATTTCTTGACCTGAGAAATCTCACTGCAGTCGCCATTTTGGAAAAAACACGCATACATTATTTGGTACTACCGCTGTACTGGAGTACTTTGACTCAAACCAAACAGAGGGGTACGACGACTAGCTGGTCCCCGACGCCGAGGACAAGTTAGACGTTTACCTTTGCTAATCATCTGTACTTGAAGCATTTTGAAGTGCAATAAATATATTTTTAAGGACATGTGTTCATCTTTGCTCTTCTTCGTGTGTCTGTTTCGATTGCCATTTTACACCGCTTCGGGACTTTAAAAATACCCAATACGATACTTTTTCCGGGAGACTAAGGAAACCCCTGAAGGCCTGGAGCGGTCCCCAAAAAGTTTTCACACCCGGAAAGCTGTAGCAATATCTCAAACCTTATGATTACAGAGCTGTTTTATTCACATATTCTTAATATGAAGAGAGGTTCTCTGCATACAAAAAGTTTCTGCCGTGTACACCTCTCTGTTTTTAGCTACAGATTAATTAAACATTGCTTTTCGGGCCCGAAGAGTTTCCGAGACTTTCGAGAAACGGGCCCCTGGCCGCCAAACGTGCTTTTGCCTTGGGGGACTCCCAGATAAAAAGGACAGGGGTACTCGTCATACCTTTTAAGGGTTAAAAAGCAGTTTTGGTACCTCTAAGGGTGTTAAGCCTCAAAAGGTCCAGAGCAGGAGCTTTTACAGTACCTTTTCGGGTATTGAGCCGAAAAAAATGACAGGAGATCTAATGTTTTATGCATGATTTGTACCTCTTAATAGGGGAGTAAAAAAATTCAAGCCACGCCCACAAAACAGGATTTTGGTACTTCTTAGGGTTTCTTTTCAAAATTTCCGATGAGTACCCGGGTCCTTTTTATGTTGGAGTCCCTAGCTCCCGGGCTTTTGCGCCCTTTTGTGGATCAAATAAAAGGTAGATGCCGGGTGCCGAAAGAAGTTCAAAATGGAAGCCAAAAGCTAAGGTGATGGATATCGTTAAGACTATGATACAAAGAAACGCCGAAGAGTTTTCCAAACGAGCTGGCTTTAAGAGTTTCTTCGTAGACTTTTTAGAAGAAAGTAAGATAGCTACAAGTTGAGTTATGTTAGTTTACAGCTGAAAGGCGTTGCTATTAAAATGTCATGTCGTTGTTTGTGTCTTGTTCCTGGGCCAGTGGCATGTAAAATTCACCCGCCCAGCAGCTGCAGGATGAGCTGGTTGTCCCATGTCAGGATGGCAGAAGTACAGTGTAGTGATTAAAGTCTAGCACAGCCAATTCACTTAATATAAGAGGGAAAATAAAAGACCGACAAATAACGCCAGATGTGTCTGATGTTCTTTATTTTAAATTTTCTATTCAGGCCCAGCAAGAGATAGCGATGGGCCCCGTCCACACTACAACGGAGAAATTTGAAAACGTAGCTTTATTTCTACGGTTAGGCCTACCGTCCACACTAGCTAATCCGAAGAAATTGTCCACGGAAAACGGAGTTTTTCGAAAACACTCTTCAAACTGGAGGAATTTGAGAACGCCGGGTTTTCGTTTTCGTGTGGACGGAAAGCATATTGAAAAAGGAGCTTTTCGAAAACGACGTCGCGATAATCATGTGATTGACCCTGCCCCTCAAGGGTGCACGCAAGCTTTTCTGCCGCCGGTGATTGTTGCATTTTCAAATTTCTGCGGCGTATAGTGTGGAAGGAAATCATTTGATGCGTTTTCAGAGTGAAAACACCGAGTTCAAATTTCTTCGGCATAGTGAGGACGGGGTCAACACAAGAAATTCGTGGCTAGACGAAACTTAGACATTAGAGACCTTTAGATCCACGTTTACCGCAAACGTCTAACTGCGGTTTGAGATTAGAAGTTTGCCGCTCGCCGTTCGGACGTAAGTCGATTTGGATTGGAGTAAATTGGAGCGAATAGAAATCATCCTACATGTCAATGTAGAGGAAATTGTGATACTGAACGTACTAAAAAAAATTTTGAAACGTGCTACATTTATGGACAAGCTATTAAATAAAAAACATTAAAAAACTTTTTATACAGAAGATATAAGTTGAACTAAAAAAAAAACATACTTATCAATGTGCGATTTTTTGTGTCACATTATACCATTGAATGAATATACTATAAAAATATAAATGTTTTCGCACATTAAATGTGCTCAGGCTAGTCAACTTAAAAAAAAAACAAATTTAAAAATATCATTTAAAACCATTTGTCTGAAATAAAGATCCCGGACATTTTCACATTGAATGTAATCTTACTTTATTAAAATTAAACTTCTGTGCTTTCATTGTGAGAGTTATTCTGCATTTCTCTGACCTACACAAGAAAATCGCCGAAATACCCACTTTAACTCAATCACGTTGTTTTGATGTGCAGAAATCTTTTAAATTTTGACTCATTCAGTGTATGCAGATTGTTCGTCTTATCTAATCTTCTGTTTCTTCCATGTCAATTGACTGGTTCTTTTGTGGCTCAGAAACTTCTCCTTCATTTGAACTTGGTCCAGCAGTTATACTCTTTTGAGAAGGAGCGCAGAGTCCCTCCTGTAGGAAGCTAAAAAAACATCAACATTTTATTGTATTTTTTTAAAATTCCAAAGAAGGACTTTGTCTAAAATCATACATTGATTGCCACATAGAGAACAACTAGTAGAATAAACAAACGTTTTTTTTGGTTAAATCTAGTACGAAAAAAATTAAAAAGCCGTGATTACCATTGCAAGAACTGTAATCTAATTCAGTTTTTGCTTACTAACAACTAGTCGAATTAGAAACTCTACCTTTGGTTCACGTGTGAACTCATCAAGTTCTGAACTCAGATCAAGTATACAATACTATGCCAACCTACCGTTGAGCAGTCTCAGGCATTTCCATGTGGAGACTGGTGTTCTTTCCAGTCACACACACGTGACCTTTCTGGATAGTCTGATGCAAATGAATCTCTGTGAACAGATTAAGGCGAAGGAGAATCAGTCAGGAAAAAGTTAAACGCGGGTTCTACGCGGGTGAATTGCCATGTTTGTTCTTTTTAATGACTTTCAAAGATAAGCCGAGTGGGTGTTGGCCTGCGAACGCAGACGTCTTTCCGATTGACGCTTGTCTCCGGAGACAAGCGATAGCCGAAAATACGTCTGCGTTTGTAGGCTAAGTATGTGTGGATTGATAAAGGATAGATAAAGGTAAGAAACATCTAGACCTTTCAGGACAGTTCCGATTGTTACTACGTGTATAAAAATTCAAACAGAAACCGACTTAGTAACGAGAAGTCAAGAGAGCGTTCCATTGATCCATTTAACAATCAGACTACGAGTTCGAGTTTTCTATGAGCGAATAGTCCACGAGGCCTAGCCGAGTTGATTATCGCTCACAGAAAACGAGCGCGAGTAGCCTAATTGTTTTAGTAGACACTCTAAAGGATTTGTTATATCTTGTGCGACGTACACGAAGTAGTTGTTAGATAATATATATAGTGAGACTTACTTGAATTAGAGGTTAGAATTAAACCACGTGCTTTTAGAGTGTACACATCGAGCTCGAGTGAATTTGGAGTGTTACAGGATTACAGCACAAAACTTACAATTTTGTGTCTTTTGAGGCCAAAAATTAAGAATAATTTTCAGTTTCAAGAGCAGTGCGCACGTAATTGTTGTCAAATTGAAAACGATGAGAGAACCAATTAGATTCGCAGATTTCCAATAGAACACAGCTGAGTGGCTACTAACGTCATTTAGGATACCGACACGAAAATTTGTTTCACCTCGGCTTCATCATCATGCGAGGTGATTAACTTTTCTATTTGAATGGAAATTCAAATTTCTTACCTACGTGGCCATATTGATGATGCGCATGTCTCTGTAACATTTCGACTGCCGACGGATCCATCACAAAGTTTCCATTTCTGTCACCTGGACGGCTTGCAATTGAAAGGGCAGCCAGTTCAGCCTCCAATGGACTACTTGCAGTTGTACCTGACAGGAGTAATTAGATAAAGGAGAAACTTATAGGAGATCATTCCAAATAACTTAGACACCGATGTACAGTGTTTATGTTTAAGACTTGTGTGCCGCTATTAGAAATTGCAGCCTAACTCACTGGACACGAACTGATCATTTCATTCTTTTGTCCAAAAGAACTCTAAGCTTATTTCGATTTTGAAGTAATATATCAAACACGAGAGACAGTGTTTCATCGAGATTTCTCAAACTCATTAATAATTCATCAAGTTTAAACAAAGGAAATCATGACCGTGACGGTATTTGGATATCTGATCTTAATTAGCACACATTTATACGAATTAATTCTCCGTTTTCTTCTTTGTTTTAGTTTCGATTGAGAAGATCTATCAAACACGCAAGACAGTGTTTGGCCACATTTCCAAACACCTCGAAGTTCGTCAAAAATACTCCGCTACGCGTCGTGTTTTCAACTCTCTTCTCGGTGATTGGAAATGTGGTCAAACACTGACTTTCGTGTTTGATATATTACATCCACACACCGAGAAAAGAGTTGAAAATAGGACGCGCAGCGGAGTATTTTTGACGAAATTTGAGGTGTTTAGATGGCCGATGAAACACTGTCTCGAATGTTTGATATATTCTCTCAATCGAAACAAAAACTAAGAAGTAAACGGATAAATAAAATCGTCCAATTCTATGCTAATTACGACCGGTTATCCAAGCTTCTTCACAGTTGTGATTTTCTTTGTAATAACTTGATGAATTATTAATAAGTTTTAGAACGCCACTGCGTGTTAAGAGAAAATTCCATACAAAGCTTTGCCGTTTTACGACTCCGCCCAGTAGAAAATCTCCTAACTACCCGCCAAAACTTCTTGGAGATTAATAGACCGTGTGAGAAGTAATCTATCAAACGCAAACGACCGCCTTTGACCACATTTCCAAACACCGAGAAGAGAGTTGAAAATACGACGCGTAGCGGAGTATTTTTGACGAACGCCCAGGTGTTTGGAAATGTAGTCAAACGATATCTTGAGTGTTTGATGTCTCTTCTCAATCGAAGCTAAAACTAAGGAGAAAACGGAGAAAGAAAACCGCAAAATCCATGCCAATTAAGATCAGATATCCAAACACCGTCACGGTCATGATTTCCTTCGTTTAAACTTGACAATTTATTGATGAGTTGGAGAAACACTGTTCACTGGTTTGCTATGCTCTACTTAACAATTAGATTATGAGCTCGAGATTTTTATCGCGTGATAGTTGACAAGGAACCACGCGAGTCAACTATCACCCATTTCTTAAAAATGGTGAGTAGCGTAGCCAATAAGAGGACATCAGTCTTGCTAAATTGCTTGCAGATTCATAATTGCATCGCGGACTTGGCTGCACATTTAGCCATTCCTGAATTGTTAAGGATGTCAAAGTGATTCTTTCAATTCAGTTTCTCTCAGTGCTCCGTCTCTCAGTGGAATACCGTGTACATGCACAGTTAATAACTATGGTAAATGTATACCTTATATTCTACTCACCTGAATCTGAGGCTGACGTAGAAGCATTTGTAGCAGATGGTTCGCCAATAGCCACGAAATCTTTGCTGTCGACAGAAATTGCTTCTGACCGCCACTTGTACAGCAGTCGCAGCCTAACCACTCCCACTGTCGCCGGAAAGCAACACATCATCAAGTGAGATTCTGTGATCTTAACCTGTGCCCCGTCCACAACATCATCGCCCAATTCATTTTGGAGTACACACAATGCCTCCGACATGGTCTTCCTGCGTGTAGAAGACAGCACCACAAGGTGATTTCCCGAGCCTGTAAGCTCTGTTTTGACAGCTACAGGAAGTGGACACTTGGCGAGTACCTCATACTTTGATGAAGGCACTTCGATCACCGATTCAAATGCTCCAACTCTGCGAATTTGCCCATCCAGGTGGACGAACGCAATTGCTTCAATCTGTAGCTCATCTTCAGACTCTTTTTTGATCTCGAACTGCTGAAAAAAGGTATCATGTGGCCTGTCGTACTGGATACCCTCGCTATAGCAGTTCACTAGGGAATTAGTACAGTCAGTCAACTCAAATCTCACCAGTTTGGATGAATCAAAGGCTGCAAACGTGATCAGATCAAGCGAAACACCGTAGAAGTAACGCATTTCAACTTCCTTTATATCACGAATATCTGCCAAGATTCTTCTCAGGGAGCATGAAAAAAACTGTAATCTCTTGTGCAATTTAATATCCTGGCGGCTCTGGAAAAATTCTCTTAAGAATTCAGACATATTCCAAATCCCCAGGCTTTTACTCCAATTTTCAATCACCTCGGTTGAATGCTTCCCGCAATTGTTGAGACACAAACTCTCAAGAACTCCACACACTTCGTACACGAGCCTTAAAATGTCTTTATTTAGAAAAGAGTCTCGAACTTTAGACTTATATTGGCTAACGATTTCTTTAGGCAGTCCTTTTAATCCATTCTGCACAATTACGCTATTCTCTTTATGGAAAATGTCTTTGATGACTTGAATGAGAAGGGGGACAATGGAGAAGAAATCTTGATGGGTGGATCTAGTTGAAGATGAGCAAATCTTCTCCAGCTTTAAGGCAACATCTTCGGTGACTTGTTGGTGGAAGGAAAGAAAACGTGGGTAGTCTTGTACAGAGACCTCTGCGTCCAGTTCAATACAGCAATCTTTGATCGCAAAGAATTCTAATTTGATTGGTGAAGTGTTCTATCAAGTGGGGATCCTCGCGTTTCAAGCTTTGGATTTCAAAGGCAAGTTCTCGCAAATGGTTGATGTGCACCTTCCTTCTTTTATCCACTTCACAGTCTTAAATGACGAGACATTCATGATTTTGTTAACAGCATCATAAAACAAAAAAACGACGGCCCTTTTCAGTTTTAAATACACGTTTCAATAGTAACGTCTGTCACCGTCAGTTACAACTAGACTGAATTTTCATATACAAATTAATATACAAGTTTTGTACAATAAGTGTTATCTAGAATAACTTACATAACACGAAAGAAGAACGTGCGAAAACAAAGAACAAAAGGGAAATTCAGAAAAAATGTGCGGAAAAATTAGAATGAAAGAGACAAATTAACATGTCGATGAATTTACTGATTTAAAGCAGGTTTCTCCCAATTGATGTACATGTACTTTGTGGCGTTTTTTCTGAACCTAAAAAGCGTTGTCCAATTTTTTTTTTAATATACATTAACGATTGCTAAAACTTGGTATGTGGTCACACGCTTAGATTTTTTCTTTTCAAACTAGGAAATATTTTCAGAAATCTGCCATTGCCTTTAATAATAATAATAATAATAATATTTAATATTTCTAAGGCGCAAATTAACATGTGAATATGATCAAATGCGCCTAACAAACCATATGAGTAAAAAACTATTAGGTTTAAAACGCCATTTGCATTCGTCTAATGTGTTATTATGGGCCAAGTAATGCAAACAACAGAACCTTGCAAGGCACAAACGTCCTTTACGAATGCTTCTCTTTTTTCAAAACATAATAAAAAGTGAAGG